AAAAGTAATTTATCGTAATAAAGTGTTGTTATTTGTTACTCAATAAGACATTTACAAAGGTACTTTTAATTATTGTAATATAATACACAAACTTTTTTTCATTGTTATAATAAATAATTGTTCTCGAGTGAAGTGGAGAAGGCATAGTAGGACTGGTACAATTTTATTGTTACCTATGTACGTAAATAGAAGTGGGGTTTTATTGTAAAAATTTATGTTAAATGTTTTAAATAATGTATTGGTTATTGGTAGTTTATGTTCGTGTCCACGTACCCCGCGACTAATAGTTGCTGCGTATCCCTTCTGTGCTGTTCTAAATTTTAAATATAAATTAATACATTAATTTATTTTTCTACCAGGTTCGCCGGTAGGGATGCGCAGTAGCTGATAGGGCTTCCTGCTGAAAATCAGTGTTGGGACATCCTACAAGGTGTCCCAACTAAAACTGAGCGGGCGCCCTATTAACATGCATTTGTCTTTTTCGTTTTATTTTAACCATTGTATTGTATTGGGGGCCTTTCACGCGAAGCGGACAGCGAAAATCAAGTCAGGTTTTGGATTTTGTTCATATTTGCATTAAATGTACTGCTATATGACCTGAATGGATGTGCATCATTATAATTTTTTTATGAAGCTTAGTTTATTTTTTATGAGCGTTCAAGAAATTGGTAAAATTTAAGGAACAGATTTTCTGAAGCTATTACTGCTATTATTACATTTGATTAAAAACAAACTGACTATTGGACTTTTGAGAATAAATAACTGTGTTTCTTACTATTTACTACAAATTTGAAATTTCTTTTTTGTTCACATAGAAAACCGGAAGTAAAGTTTTAAAATCGAATTTTACAAAACTTCGGTATTTTTAATTTTTTTTATTTTTATTTTAAAATATACCTAGTAGTCTATAAATAACGTGTGTAAAGTTGTAAAATGGAGTCTGTATTGGTTTTTGATTTAGACGCAGTACAGTGCGAGCACGCCGCAATGAGCGTCATACTGGCTATCGACATTTGGCTACTTTTTAAAAAATATTTGTTCGAAAACTACTGAAACGTTAATATTGTCGCATGCATACTCTTAAACAATTATAATTTTGACTCGGCGAACTTCGTACCGTCTAAAAGACAATGATTGTTGGCATTGAGATGGTGCGTATTACGTCGCGGACATTATTATTATTATGTTTGTACGCTTTGGAGCTCACGGGTCAAAAGTGGCCCGGTCCTTTATAAGGCTTGCGTGGGGATACAGATCCAACACGTAGAGGCCGTTTTAAGCGCAAAATAATCGACAAAAGTGAAAGTGGTGCACATGCTGGATCTAGTCTCTGACTATATCATGGGATGTAGCCAGAGACCATCCCCAGCCTGTGCACAGGAGCTATTGCAGTTATTGGAGAATGGACTAGGGTTATGGATGAGGGATGGATGGACTGGTTACTGGGCTATGGATGGAGACTACGGGACATCTGCCTGGTTCATAGTCTCGGACTGAAAAAAAATGGCAGGCGGTGACTAGCCAGCGACTAAATGGGCCCCCCCTGGCGTCATGGGTCGTATAGACCGGACTGAGGGGCAACATTGGCGTCTGCCAGCTCAGGGGTGTAGAGAGGTGTGCTGCGCTTTCTCCAAGGTTACTCGCGGCGTTATGCCCTTTAACACTTCCACCCCTGGAGCATATAGCTCTAGCGACTCCACTCTGGCCGGCCGGTTAAGGCAAGCCAGAGGTGAAAGTCCTGCAGACCCTCTCGGATTCCACTTCGGCAAGCCGAAGACGAGGGTCTTGACCGACTCTCGGGAGCACTCGGATTAACAACTGGCCCCGTGGTGTCGCTACTCACCAACAGCTCGCCACAAAGCTATTATTATTATTAATAATAATTCAGGCCGCTCTAACTTTTTGATCAAAGTAAAATTAACTACTGAAACATTACCACAACATGACTATGAATTCCATAACACGCATGGTACTTTGCAAAACAACACATTCCTATAATTTGGATATATTTCAACAATAAAAAATGCAAGTTATCATGCTTTTTACATCTGAGTATCTAGAACATAGAGTGTTATGGGAAACCGCTTTTCAATATGCCCGTAGTAAATTATTTTTATTAAAATATACAAAAATATTTATATTTTTTTGGCATTGTGATGCAAATTTTTTAGTTTGCTACTCGAACTTTCGATGTTTTTGTAATTAGATACAGGAAGTAGTATTTTGTTTTATATTATAAAATTGGATGCATAATGTTAGAAAAAAGTAAAATAAAAACCATTTGTGCAACAGCATCTTTGATTAAATTAACTAATCTTTCAACATGATGAAATATGTTATCATTTCCAGCTAATTGCCAAAACATATTATTTTGATAACATGTTAGATATTAATAAATTACCTATGTTTGTAGGATGCTGCAGGCATAATCTTGCTTGCCTGGTAAATATTTGCCATGCTACCCAAAAACTTTGTTTCCGCTATGCTGAAGTTTGTCAGACTTGCCTGCATACGTCTGCGTCTTAAGCTCCGGCCAAACCAACGCGTACAGCTCGCGTCCGCGATGGCGATGGCGATGGCGATCACTGCGCGTGCACAGATCGCTGCGACCAATGACAGGACGCGTTGATGTGAACTCATCGCTACAAATTCATATACGACATCTGCCGGGCTAGGATGCGCGCCGTGATATACCTATCTTATCGATAATTTTAGACGACAAATGTATGGGCTTATCAATTAAAATCGAGAACATAGCGTGATAAACGCTTGTCGCGGCGCGCATCCTAGGCCTAATAGATCGCTGTCGTGCCTGACATCGCGCACGCAGGCTGCACGCGTTGGTTTGGCGGAACCTTTATGGCGCTGGATTTATATATTTATAGGATTATAGGAAATTGGATATTTTTAAAAGACCATCATCATAATTCATGGCTGGACACTTGTTCACTTCATAGCTGGACGAAAGCGCTAAGACTTTGGTATAATTAGATATTTCTAAACAAACTGGATTTTTATTCAGACTGCGACATCCATAAGCTTGATGTTAAGCGATCCAAAGCTCACCGCAAACCTATACATAGACGAGCAATTTCCAGCGAGATTAATTAAACTGTTACTATCACATAGCTAATAGTAATAGTACTATGCTATCTGCTCCAGTTCTATTCATATTCATAATGCCAGAAACCATTTTACTGGTAATTGATCAAACGAATTGTTGCTGGCAGTTTGGCCAGCAATGCTCTTTTGATATTGTTTATGGTTTTTTACTTTTTTTAAATATTGTTTTTGGATTTTGAAGTGGCTTTTTTACTGTCTCTTGTACGGTCTAGTTTTATGTCTTGAGCAAATATACTGTTTTTGCCATATTTGAAGTTTTTCATTGAATAGCTTCTTGCATATTAATCACCACCAGCAGGCCTATCTCTCAGAAATATACTGTCCACTCCAGTACCTTTTAACACGAATTTCTCTGCGAACAAAATTAAATGCACGGTGTTTAAAACGTTTATTTCAATCTGTACTTTTTATAGAGATGTTATTTTCTTCGAATCTATTTCCAAAATATCATACTTAAGCCTTTGCCTTGAGCCTTTGCCAATTCATCAAGTACTATTTACTTTTTACCTAGGTACCTAGTACTTACTTTTTGATCAGGTTGAAGGTCTGCTACTCCCTGATATCTTCTTATCAAGACTCAAATCTCTTACGAACGTGTATTAATTACATATATCGGGACCTTCCCTGAACTCATACTATACTAGGTGGACCGACGATCTGGTAAAGGTCGTGGGAGGAAGCTGGATGCGGGCAGCGCAGGATCGTTCATTGTGGAAAACTTTGTCCAGCAGTGGATATTGGTAATGGCTGAAACGAACGAACGAACGAACTCATATTAAAGCCACACAATAAGGTCATACTCACCATTGTCATGTTAATAAGGTAACAAGTTCAAGGAAGTAGAATAACATACTTTACCTAGTCATTTAAAGTTTACATAACTAATATTGAAACAAAATATTGTTGGTCTTACACTTAAAAGCAATTATTGTGAAGAGGTTTCGATAATAAAGACCCCACAAGGACTTCTGCAGACCAGAAAGACTAAGATTATGGTTCTGACAATGTTTCATACTGATTTCAGTCAGATGAATATGTAGTTTAGGAAATAAATGGATTAACAATCGTCTAAAGCAAGGGTCTTCAAAGTTTGAAGCCTTGGGGAAATAATATTTTTTTCGGTATGTTGCAAAGGCCGTAACAATTTTAAATTGTTTGCCCACCTATGCAAACATAGGCTTAGTCCTAAGCTGTCTTAGGGCTGATTTTTCAATCGTTGGATAACTTTTAACTGAGGAATAAGTTTGGCACATTGACAGTTTCAGTATGGGAAATATGTCAAAATGACAAGTTTATTCTTCAGATAAAAGTTAACTGGTCGGTTGAAAAATCGGCCCTTAATGTAATTTTAGATAATGTACCGGCGTTCCTACATCGTAGATAAAACATAACAAATAGCACATCATCATCAGGTTCAAAAAATTATGTACAACATTTATTGATGTTTTTTATTCTTATTTTTACAACGATCACACGAATTTCCTAACTTAACATATTAACAAACACCAAAGTTAATATAAAAAATACTGTCTAAACTTAAGCTGAGTTGCACCATCTTACTTAGACAAAGACTTAGACTCTTTAGACAAACGTCAAAAATCTTTCAAACTCCATACAAAAAGCCCATTTATTGTTATTGTTACGGTTAAAATAAAATGCTGCAACTCAGCCTAAATTGAGTAAATGCTAGGAAGAAGAAAAGAGATTTACAAAATAATGTCAAGGAATTTTCAAAATAAATATAAATAAATTCACTATGACTAGAGGTGAAATTGTGTAAATCAATCGTTATCATTTGACAGTTCATAACGTACGACAAAGCGTTTGACAGAATAATCGTACGTTATGAACTGTCAAATGATAACGATGACGATTGCTTTACACAATCCCACCTCAATCCCTTACCGCAGAATGCATTTAGTACAGCTAATCTTTAAAGGCAAGAATATCGTATTTGCATTCATCAGATGGCGCTTTATTAAAGCAAGGTCCCGTCCTGAAAAATGACGTCAACATAGTAAGCTCTAATACGGTAACTCTCATTTGATAGTACAGACCTTTTTTTTTTTTTTTTTCATATCAAAATTCAAAGAGACCTGGCAAAGAGATTACTGAAGACAATCAGAGGTCTCTCTTATACAGGGTAAATTTGCAATGTCCAAATTTTTAGGAGCGACTCAGTCAGAATCAGTAATTTATTCGATTTACGTAAAGAAAATATTTTGTTTATCATATTTAATTATTTTTATATGTTGCACGCGGTTTCAAAATTAGGACACGTGGATAATTTACTTCGTTCATAGACAAATACGTACACAAGCAACTGCAAAGCTTTAGACATTATGGTGCGTAAAAATAAGCCCGCGAATTATGTTTTCAGTATATTTTTTTGCGAAAAATACCACGATTAAAAATAATAATTAAGATAAAGTACTTAGACAAAACCGTTCCGATTAACGCACACTTCCTAGGGGCGTCAGTTTAAATTAAGGATTGTTTTAAACTATAATAAAAATGAATTTAAAATGTATGTATTAATTATTAGTATAAGATTTACTTAAAATGTTTGTATTCATGAACACAATAAATATAATAGTGGGGGACAACGGAACTTTTTTGGTTTCGATGTCCACCACTGAGGGACAGAGCAACACATTTCTTCTCAATGTCCACCAGTAGGGCCCAACGGGAAGATTTCAGTAGCACTGTCCCCCACTGGTGGACATTGCAACTTTTTTTCTCGATGTCCACCAGTGGTGGACAAATAGTGGGGGACATCGGGAATAAACGTTGTTAAATTGTTAAATTGTTCAATAGAGCTTATTAAAAATTTTTGGATACTGTTTACAAAATCACCCTATGTGCAATATTTTTTACTAATGCCCGCCGCGGACGACACGACAATTTTACTAGCTGGAACTGAATTGTAAGCGCTCACTTTTAGATTTACTCTGTCCCCACAAAAAATCATACAGCACGAACTGTCCAGTGAAATAAAACAAATGTTCGACAATGATGTACAGCACCAGGAGGCCGAGTTTGAAATTGCTCATTGTTTTTATAACTGGATACAGGTATTCGCCTTGGACAATAATACTTTCAGCGCACCTGAAACAGAGAATAAATTGTAAGGCCCAAATTATGGATTGAACACTCTGTATACTCTGTGATTCGACCAACACCACTTAAAAAATTGCAATTGAAAAGTGCCAGTGCATACTTGCAAGGGCTGCTCGCATGCACTGACACTTTTCGAGTGTACTTTGATATCAAATTATTAAGATCATTTAATTTTATATTATAACTAGCTTTCCGCCCGCGGCTTCGCCCGCGTGGAATTTTGTCTGTCACAGAAAAACTTTATCGCGCGCGTCCCTGTTTCAAAAACCGGGATAAAAACTATCCTATGTTCTTTCCCGGGACTCAAACTATCTCTATGCCAAATTTCATCAAAATCGGTTGCGAGGTTTAAGCGGGAAAGCGTAACAGACAGACAGACAGACAGACAGACAGAGTTACTTTCGCATTTATAATATTAGTTGGGATGGGATAAAACATATAAAAACAAATGTTCGGTACTTGCAACTAGCAATAAGCAATTTATTCACAGTAAAGGTTAGACCAGACCAACGCGTGCAGCCGGCGTGCACGATGACGATGGCGATGGCGACCAGACAGCGTGTATAGATGACCCACGCTGAACTGTCCCGCCAAACTCAATGACAGGGGGGCGCTACCATCGTTCAACTATATGGTTTCCAACATGGCAAAAATCTGAACCAGCGATCCGGTATTGACGGTGGCGCCCCACTGTCAATGTCATCGACAGGACAGTCCAGTATTTTGGAACTATATGAATTTATAGCGATGTGTTCACATCAACGCGTCCTGTCATTGGTCGCGGCGATCTATGCAGCGTCTGCACGCAGCGATCAGCGATCATCGCGAAATTTGTCACTGTGACGTTTCTGTTTTTTAAAATCGTTGTAATAAATAGTAAGTAGGATCTGTTAAAAAGTTTTTACTCAATTAAAAATGAATTAATCCTAACATACCACTAGTCTGACCTACTTGAATAATAAAAAAGGTTTTAGAATAAAGTACCAATATCAGAATTTATTTTTATGTAATAAACAAATTATTCTAGTTTTCTCGAGAACCTGTTTCTTCAACTTCATAAATAAAATGATTTATCTGCAGAACAAAATAATTGAGAATGTACATGTCTGCAGCTTTCTCAAAGGCCCTAGAGCAATTCTAACGTCTCAGTCATTAATTTAGAGCCACTAGAAATACCTAGTTGACCAAAACTGATGTCTTTTTGTATTTTTGTATTTTTGAGTTATTATTAAAGACACAAAGGATATTTAGACTATTATGTACTCTGTAGTTTGGGTGCATAATGTAATTCCTTTGCCTTAAAAAAAGTAAATGTCAAGATGACTGTTGCACCGAAAATGAAAATGAAAATTGATATAGATGACCCATGCTGAACTGTCCCGCCAAACTCAATGACAGGGGGGCGCTACCATCGTTCAACTATATGGTTTCCAACATGGCAAAAATCTGAACCAGCGATCCGGTATTGACGGTGGCGCCCCACTGTCAATGTCATCGACAGGACAGTCCAGTATATAAAGATGTTTTGTGTAGTGTTGTGCAATTTAACGATAAGAACGACAATGGTAAAAGGAAATGGGGGCAATTTTTTTCCCTCAAGGAAAAAGATGAATTGGTTATAATCTTACTTGCCCACAAGGACACTGTACGAGCACGTCAGCATCGACCACAACTAGCCGACTGGCCCATGAACCCTGAACGAACGTGCACCGTAGGCACTCTACACCGACGGCACATTGGACTGGACACATTGGATTGTGTACATTATGTAAATCTTGTATATATCAATAGCATTACAGTAATAAACCAGATATCAACCGTCCGCGTTGTGTTTCATTTCCCCCCCTCAGAATACGGAACAAACCAGAAACCGTCAACGGGCGTAAATGTGTATTCATATAAAGTACTCCAAAACGCACTACTTTGACTTTAGAGCAATTAGTCAATGGCCGGCGCGCGCATTGTTTACATATCCGTCAGATTGACACTTTAAAATTAAATTATGCCGTCTTGTGCCGTTCCAACATGTAGGAATGCTACTGGAATTACGAAGAAAGTGCATGGGAACATGTTTTATCCGTAAGTAGCACATTTCCAATTCATTTTAATTAAATAATAATTTTCAAAAAAAATCACGGTTGTATTTTGTAAGTGTTGCCACAAGTCTACGGAATATTTTACCCTACTTTTTTATATTGAATTACATTTGTCTATAAAAAATTCACGCGTTAATTTTGTTAGCGTTACCACAGAATAATGGAATATTTTCCCCATCCTTTTTGTTTTAATTAGTTTTTAGTGTATTTTCATCCATGACAATATGACAACCTGATTAATTAAATTATAAGTGCCACTTGTGGTCTAAACTGAATAAATATTTTTGATTTTGATTTGATTTTAATATTTGAATTAATTTATAATATTACTCCCTAAATAATGAGGAGATAATAAATTACTATCGTGAATTTCATACTTTCCCATTTATTCAAAAGTAAGGCATTGGTCTTCGATTGAAGATAATTTGATACCCAACTTACAGTGGAAACGCAAGATAGCGGAAATGGATCTCTGGAACTCTCTGGGAAACTATGCAGCAGTCGAACTGGCTGAAATTCTTCAATCACCAGCTTTATAACCAGAAGCATGCAGCAGCCTGAAAAGGCTGCTCGCTTTTTGGGGGTGATCTGGGTTGTTTGGAGTAGGAAGATAACCACCCAAGAGAATCAGGAGGCTAAGTGCGGCTTCTAAATCATCAGATGAAGTGTCACCGCCACTGACTTTCGACCTGGTTCCAGATTTTGGAACCAGAACCAGCATTTTGTGCGCCTGATTTTGTTGCTGCAGCACAAAGTTGTCCAAAAAACAAAATTCTTTAGTACATGAATTAAAATTCACATCGGCTTATAATTTACAGCTTTAAATATTACTAACTAATAACATGATCCCTTTTTATGCGATAAAATCTATGAAAAAAATCATAAAATAAAGTCAACGAGAACCTGGCAATGTGTCTTTATAAATACATTCAAAATTGAAAGTAAATTATTACGTATCTGACAGTGTGCATTTAGAGATACATTCGGACAATTCGCATCGTACAAGAATAATTATACAAGTTTTGGGATGAAAAAACAGCACTATCATCAAGAAACCTTTATTTACTATCCATATTACTACAGATAATGACCAATATGCTTTAAAAAAAACACCGAAAAGAATAAAAAATATTAGCTGGTGCGTAGACGCCTGTCAACGGTCTGACATTTTGAATATTACTGTTAAATCTGTGCAGCCTGTAGCGATTCTATACTGTGTAACACAATCTGTAGTATTTGGGCTAACGTTATATTAAAAAAACATTAAAAAATAGTTTTTGGTTTCTCCCGCATATTTTTGTTTTGGTCAACGTATCTTTAAATGCACAATGCCAAGAAAAGGGTTAACTGTGAATATGAAATAATTAAATCTGAACAATGGTTGACAATGCAAAATAGCGCCTATTATAACTAATAAGTGCCTGCCACTTTGTTATTGATGCCACCTGATGTGCCATTATCTTTCTATAAAATCATTATGTCATTTAGTCTTCACTGCGGTAGCACGCCCTCTCCTAAATCAACGGCCAATATAAAGTACTAGATTTCCGCCCGCGGCTTCGCCCGCGTGGAATTTTGTCTGTCACAGAAAAACATTATCGCGCGCGTCCCTGTTTCAAAAACCGGGATAAAAACTATCCTATGTTCTTTCCCGGGACTCAAACTATATCTATGCCAAATTTCATCAAAATCGGTTGTGAGGTTTAAGCGGGAAAGCGTAACAGACAGACAGACAGAGTTACTTTTGCATTTATAATATTATAGTTGGGATAATTTGGCCTGTAATCCCCGCGCTGGCCAGACGACCTGGCGAGGCCTTATTCGCATTGTACTACCCGTTCGCGCTAAGTTTACCGGTCCGTGGAATGCGCGTCCCCTCTCCCAACCGCGATTAAACGCAATTAGTTAGTGATGAAACTCAATTAATGTATCTTATTTTACGCAAATACACAATTTTTATCAATATTAATAAATAAAAAATATTTTCATTTGCTGCAGTTATAGACGCTTCCCTTCGAGTGACGTCATATCGCCAGCGGCTAACTTATCGCGAACGGATAGTGTCCCTCTAGTCGTCTTTAACTACGTTCATGAAAATAATGGGTGATAACCTCAGCTTTAAATAAAGACGAAAATGGAAAATATACTTACACACCACAATAGACAGTGATAACAGTCATCATGATAGATAAACCAGGCACCATGCTAGCTGGTCTCTTCCGCGGTACTAGCACCAGGTCTAGCAGGGTAAACACCAGGGAAACTGTGTGCATGCAGTGCTGGGTCCAGAAAGGTACAAGTTTATCAACCCCTGATGGTGCTAGAAGCAGATGGTCCTTGTTCCACAGCCGCCAAAAAAGTATGTCTGCGAACTGTAATTACGACATCTAAATTAATTATCATCTTTTTTTGGCGTGACGGATTTATACATGGACCGAAGAATGGATAGTAAATCACATTACTTTGTTGACCTAAAATGAATACTAATTATGTGCATAGTTTATTACGAAGGAAGTTTTGTCTGTCTCTGTGTTAAACCGCTAGAACAATTTTAAAAAGTTATAGTCATTAAAAATATTGGAATTTCCAGCTGGAATTTACATTTTATAGCATTTTAAAGTAAATCACTCAATCACTCTTATCTAATTGTAAGACTAAACATCTTTTAATAACTATGTCTATTATTTTATAAAAAACGTTTTATCAAAATTAGATCTTTCAAGCACTGTAACCTCAATTAAAAATGATGATTTAATTATAATACTCAAAGCTATTACGAAAAAAAAAATACTTCGAAAAAAAGAGTATGACTTTTCTTTGTTTAGATCATTGTTATTTGAAACTAGCTTCCACCCTCGGTTTTGCTCGATAGAACCACAAAAATACAAAATAACACTTTATTCATTTTCAAAAGTCTAATATGTACCTAAATAGATTTTTCAAATCGCCAACACGACTTCCCACGTAGTAACTTTATTTCTCTCTTTACTCCTTCCCCTAGATCCCATGTTATACCATCTAAATATATAAAAGGAGAAACTGACTGACTGACTGACAGATCAACGCACAGCCTAAACGGCTAAACGTAGGCACTTGAAATTTGGAAGGGACGTAGCTTAGGTACCGTAGAGGTGCACTAAGAAAGGAATTCCCGAAATTCCCACGGGAACGGGAATTAGCGGGAAAAATGGGATTCACGCGTACGAAGTCGCGGGCGGCCGCTAGTACATAATAAAATTCATGGACAGACATATTTACTTTTGCATCACTATAAACACATTAGATTGCCATTAAAAAATGCTGCAATATACCTACAGAAACAACTTAAAAAAAAACAATCATTAATGTGGGAGTGTGAAACGGAACGCAAGGGAGTGAGTGAGACGGAATGAATGAGTGAGGAAGTAAGAACGACGGGATTTAAACAGAAGACGATTAGTATTAAGACGGTTCTAAGACGTTCCTATTTTTTGTGGTTTATCCTGGAGTAAATACAAATAAAGCTGAAGAAATACAACCTGGGTTTCAATTCCTACAGCTTGGGGGCTCGTCCGGGATAGCCCAAGAAAAGGAAACACGACGATTCACGACGATTACGACGGATTGAGACGTGAGACGTATTTTTATCAATCATGAGACGACGACATAGTAAGCATGATTTCGAAGATGCGGAAGATGCTGGCCCGAGCAAGACCCTGGAGCAGCGCATACCTACTACTTTTGCCTATGCCGAGGAGCTGATCCCAAAATTTAGTGGTCGAGATCAAACTGTCACCGCATCAAGATGGGTCCAAGAGGTGGAGGAGAACGCTGAGATCTTTGGTTGGTCACCATTACACCAACTCATTGTGGGACGCAGATCACTCATTGGAACAGCGGCACTCTGGTTGCGGTCGGAGAAGCCATTCAGGTCGTGGGACGAGTTCAAAACTGGTTTACTCAAAGAGTTCCCGGATTCGTTAGACGTAAAGACAGTCCACGAAATGATGAGTGCGAGAAAGAAGGCCAATAGTGAGAGCTGTACTGATTACCTACTTGTCATGAAGGAGTTGGGAAGGCGCGGGAAAATGCCCGACTACGTCGCAATAAAATATATCATAGACGGCATTGTTGACGTAGAAACCAATAAAATCATGCTGTACGGTGCAACTACATACGGTGAGCTGAAAGAGAAACTGAAAGTATACGAGACAGTAAAGGCGAAAATGGTGGATGAACGACGTAGACCCTCCAGTAGCAGCACGACGGCACCGGTAAATTACAATAAGACGACAAGACCAAGATGTTTTAACTGTGGAGGAAGCAACCATATTTCGGCTCAATGTTTTCACAAGGAAAGAGGGGTTAAATGTTTCCGGTGTAATGAGTTTGGACACAGATCTAGTGAATGTTCAAAACCTGCAAATCATCAACAAGTGACCAGTGAAAATTCAAAATGGCAGTCAGACAATCGTCAGCAACGTCATGCCAGTCCGAAACGAGCGATGTTCACGAAAACACCCGAACGATACAGTGTTGCCAACACGACGCAATCAACAACTGACTGGAGATCGAAACCGAACGTAGAACGAAACGCAGAACTGACAGATGACACTTCTGCCAACTTCATGGTATAGATGACCCACTCTGAACTGTCCCGCCAAACTCAATGACAGGGGGCCGTAAACAACAAAAGTGTAAAAAACATCGAGGCCGCTAAAAGAAGTTCAATTTGTTGACAACAACGCGATAGCTACGGCGAGTCTTATTGNAGGTACAGATCGGTACCAGGTAGAGAAGGTAACCGACTCTACCGAAGGACCCAGAGTAACCACCACCTCATGTGATTATATGAAGAGATGGCCAGCAGGTAAGAAAGATGATGAATGAATGGATTTAGAGTTTTTAGTTAAGTTAATATGATATTTTTAAGTTGTGTTTGAATGGGAAGAATAAAAGACTAAAGTAGTTTGATATTATTTATTTAATTAGGCAAACAACATACATTTTTATTTGTATTTTTGTAACAAGTATTTAAGAGTTGTACCAGTGTTAAGATGTGTTATTATTACATTGTTATAAGAACTGTGTTGCAAAGTAGTCTTGTATAATGTTCAAGCTAGTAAAGTATTACAAAGGATTAGATGATTATAAGAATTGTATTAAACAAGATTAGTTATAAGATGCTTTAATGTAAAGTTTTGAAATGAAACAGTCCGAGGGCGGACTGTACGCAGGATGGCCGAGTGTGGGAGTGTGAAACGGAACGCAAGGGAGTGAGTGAGACGGAATGAATGAGTGAGGAAGTAAGAACGACGGGATTTAAACAGAAGACGATTAGTATTAAGACGGTTCTAAGACGTTCCTATTTTTTGTGGTTTATCCTGGAGTAAATACAAATAAAGCTAAAGAAATACAACCTGGGTTTCAATTCCTACATTAATAAAGACAAGAAAAATGTTTTCTAAAAACTTACAGCGGTAGTGGGGAATATGAAGCCGGTGAATACCAAAAATCTGATTTGATTGAGATTCTTCACGTGATCCCATTGTGCTTCTCCTCTGATCTCCCTCCAATCGCAATATATACATACTGGGAGATATGCCAATGATGCTAGCTAAAACAAAAAAATATTATGATTAGTAGAAATCATATCAATCTAGAAAACCCCGTTTGTGGCTAAAATGAGGATCATTTTATAAGTTTAAAATGTTTTACAAAGAAAAATTATTTAGTATAACCAAAAACGGTACTTTATCCTACCTACATACATATAAAAGGAGATTCATGATTAGAGCACGGAAAGTTGACGTTTCGTGATAAGAATAAGACCTTGATAACGTGCGGACTGGACAATGAACTATATTATATCTAATGTAGGTTAGGTTAGGTTAGGTTAAGTGTCGTCGGACTGTGGTAGTGAAGGCTTTGTCCGGAATCCCACAGTTCCTTCCCACATAAGGCGAATGACGGAGGACCGGGGTCTTTTTAGTGGGTATGCCTTTGTCCTTCTGACTTGGTGAGCCCCACATAACCTACCCTGTCCCCGCAGGATAGGTATGCAATTCAATGCATTTTTTCCCCGAAGGTTAAGTGTCGTCACGGGTGTCGTATTGTATGGAGAATGTAACAGAAACTTTTTTATTTCGGGTCATGTCTTCTTTTTATTTTGTTTGTGGCCTTGGTGTCATGTCACGGGTTCACGGCACGAAAGCAAAACAAATGAAAATTTTAGAACTAGCGGCCGCCCTAATGCGTAGCGCATCCTGATGCGCACTGCGATAAACTTTTATCGTGTCATTTTATCGAATTTACGCGATAAGCACATAAGTACGTTTGCCGTTTAAAATCTATACTAATATTATAAAGCTGAAGAATTTGTTTGTTTGATTGTTTTTTTGTTTACTTGAACGCGCTAATTTCAGGAACTAGTGGTCCGATTTGAAAAATTATTTCAGTGTTAGAAAGCTCATTTATCGAGGAAGGCTATAGGCTATATACCATCACGATACGAGTAATAGGATCAGAGCAACAAAGAAACAACGAAAAATGATGCAAAAACGGGGTTTCACGCGAACAAAGTCGCAGGCACAGCTAGTCATCGATAAGATTTAATCACGGCGTGCAACTTAGCTAAGAAGATCAAGGTCAACAAATCATAGACATGCAAAATTAGCACGTAATGACTTATTCAGTCAATAAACTACGATGAAATAACAAATCATATGTGTAATATACCTACCGAATTCTTGGTCTACAAAATTATTAACAGAAAATTCGCAATCTCAAATTGACCTACAATTTAATTTTGTTTAATGACCCTTAAGTTGGATATATTACTCAAGAATTGGTTCTACCAACTGCAAATCAGACTTATAAAATTTCACGAAGCAATAAAGTAGTTTCGGGGACTTCCAAATAATTATAAACTACGATTGATCATACTCGTAGTTTTCTTTAAAGTAAAAATCATTGTTTTCTTTTTATAAATCCGGAAAATTGACCTTCGAACGTAGGTAAGTATACGTTAATTGACAATATTTTTTTGCAAATTCCTTTTATCCTTAATTCACACATTTTTACCTAAATTCTCACACACAAAAAAAATGTAAGATTATTTTTGTTGCCATTATGGGTATTTTTTATATTAACTCAACAGTATAGGTTTTTTTTACTATTGTGTATGTTAAAATCACAATAACACTAAGGCTGAGTTGCACCATTTTACTTTTACTTTGACAAACGTCAAAAATGTGCCATAACTCGTTACAAAGTTACGGTTTTAAAGTTAGGTGCTGCAATTAGGCGGCTAAGCCATTAAAACATAGTTTTATAATTTTATTATCATTATAACAAAGCAAGTTCATAATAAAGAAATGTAATATATTTTTAATTTACAAGAACACAAAAGTATCAAATTAGTATGGAATTTGGTTATTTGATTGTAAATGAAAAACGCTAACTTTTTTTTTTTTTTTACATTTTCCGGGACTTCCTATAATTAAAATTTAGCTCTGCTTATTATAATTATTGCACAATGTAGTTACACATCATACGTTTTCCATATCGGCATGTTACAGAATAAATCATGATTCAAGAAATTATGAAAATAAAATTTAATAATTAACAATGTCAAATTAATTAATAAATAATTAACATATTATGTCAAATTGTCAAGTAAATTATAAATTTAATTTCAAAGTCAAATAAATAATCCATGTAGAGTTCAAGTTCTTATGGCTCGCCATTGCGCATGCGGGCTTCACGCGCTAGTTTGGTTGAACCTTTAGGGCATGGCTACACTCTTTAGAGGAATTTAAGTTCTTCTTGCCATCAACATGAAGAAGATACTCAGTCTGAGAACTCCAAACATTAGTAAACATCGTTGACGTAGTAGAAAAAAGTTGACTTTTGGCGCGAGGTTAATATGCAGCATAGATTTTAAATAAGTAATGCATAGATTCAAATATTCTTGAAAACAATAACGTCTGTATGATTTGAATTTTTAACAAACACTAATTAATAAATATAAAAGTGCGAAAAGTATTGATTTGGAACCGTTGTATGCTCTTAAACAAACCAAGAGAACGATTTTAAAATTTTACTCTAAAATAAAATAAATTCTTATAGCTGTGTGAAATTGTCCAAAGATTTTATTTTATTTATAATCGTTCTAAATAATGTACGACTATTATACAGGGTGTTTGGCGGAAAGTTAGACAAACTTCGTGGGTGTTTGAAAAAAAAATTAACCAGTTTTTAGGTCTATCGGAAATAAAATAATAAAAACAAAAATATCAATTTAAAAAAATAGCTCACTTAGGGTAAAACGGGCGAACTTGTATTCTTAAAATGATCTTACCCATACACCCACGAAGTTTGTCTAACCTTCCGCCAAACACCCTATATAATCCCTAATCTCTTAATTTCCTAAATTTTCCGATGAAAAGCATAATATTATCAATTTGATTACCTACATACGAGAATACATAAGACAGTTGTGATAGCATTATCATCATCACACAACTAACCCAAAATATGTTATTTGACAGTCGACAAATAAATGGATATTGATAAAATATGTAACAGGATATTCCTAGAATCCTACTTGTATGATACTTATTTAATTTAAGTTTTCTTAATAAATAAAGAAATTAATCAAGTTTCCAAATGCTTTTGCTAGTATTTTCTTTCTGTTTTTGCCAGCATACTACGTGAAATTCCCTTCATCTCCCAACATGGCATGGAATCTCCAACACCTATTTACTATTATGGAAGCAATAAACTTATTCGATTATTGAGTACTATGCTACTTAGATGATATTATTACTACCTTTTAATCGAATATAGAACACGTTCACCTATGAGAAACATCTAAATTCGTCTCTTTAAAATTAAGCCTACAACTACCCAGAAATCACTAGACTCTTAAAGTTAGGTAGACACATGTAAATTTTAGATGTAATATTATTTATTTATTTATTTCCCTCTTCGAACCTAGGACTCTTACCGGCTTCACCACAGGAATGTTGAAAAGCAGTGCAGTGTTAGGTATCAATAAACTACTGTTAAAAATATTATGGAAATAAACGTTTTTGTTCATTTAAAAAGTTTACGACAATGCACGTCAGTACTGAAATTTGCAGGAACTTGTAAAGTAGGCGAATAATTATTATTTATCAACCACTTACATTAAACCAACATGTTATGAGTTTCCACCTCACGTTCGCATACGGCCACAGCGCAGGATCTTCAGCCTTAGTGAAGTCAATCGTCAACAGTTTCGTTGCTATAAAAACTAAATGCACAAACGCCGAAATAAAAACGCATAGCCGCACTTTTAAAAGTTTTTCACTTGTTTTATAACCCCCTTTAGTTGGTATATTAATTTTTTCATTCACCATAAACTTTACTATATTGTCGAATTTCCACATTTTAGTGCTGTGTCCGTCACTTGTGAGATTCCTATTCAGAATGAGACAAATCGTTTGGCCTTATCGGCAACCGACTTGCGACCTGTCATAGATCAGTAGTTGTGTATTTTCCGTATGTTATAACACCGCATTTAGTCGCTGCTCTATAATTGGCACTACCTTTGATTTGAATAGCTCGTAGACATTGAAATAATCGTTACTAACTTTAAGGTTGATGGCTAATGCGATTCGGCGAGGAAAAGATAATCAAATTGGTGACGTCAATGACATGATAAAGTTTGTGGTCATCATCATAAATATTGGTAACTTATTTCAAGGAAGTTGATTATTTCCAACCGTTCAATGATTTTGAAAATAATAAATTAGTGGTGATCGAATTTTATTGTATACAATATGAATTGTATTTTTAATTATAAGACAAGCTTCTTTCTCTATATTACATTAAACATAATATATGGCCCTAAAATTTTATTTTTTCTGACGATTCCGACCATATTACGTTTCTTGCGAGGAAGGCAATAGAAATTTACCAAACCGTTGATTTCCATCAATAAACCAGTTTGTGCAAAGGTACCGCTCCTTACCCAAATGAAATATTCATCCTGAAAAGTTACCTTAGTGTTTCTTTGACGGCTCGGCAGACGGACGACAGCAGATAAAGGAAACACTGTGTCATCTTATGCTGTTGCAATAGAGGCGATTTTGCGACAATAATGTATAATCTGATGTAATGTCGACTGTACCTGGGGTTAATGGTAGTCGCCAAAATATGTAGCTCTACCTACATCGTCTTGAATATTACTTAGGCTGGGTTACACCATCTTACTTTAACTTTGACAAACGTCAAAAATCTGTCAAACTCCATACAAAATACACCGGTTATCGTCAAGGTTACGGTCAAAGCTAGGTGGCTTTTGTTACTCTTTTCTGACTCCACTACTACTGATAGTCACAAAAATAAGGCTCAGTTGCACCACCGTATTTTAACCATAACAATGACCGGTGCTTTTTGCATGGAGTTTGACAGATTTTTGACGTTTGCCAAAGTTAAAGTAAGATGGTGTAACTCAGCCTAAGTGTTGAAAGTAATTATTTGTAGGAGGATGTTTTACTTTTATCGCTAAAAACGGTTTTGGTAAGATAACACGGGATGAGACCAGTTGGTTAAAATCTCAAAGGCAAACACATTTACCTATTGGTGACAATAGTAGGCCAATGGTTTTGGATCGCCAATTAGGTTCCCAGTTCGATCCCCGTCTACGTCAACCGCGCTGTAAGGCCATCTAAGTATTACATAAATAATATTTAGTTCACTTTCAGCTTGCAGAGGTAAGAAGACGTAGGTATGCCCGTTTTCACCATCAATCCCTAATTTTTAAGTGACCCCTATGGTAACACAACAGGTATTTTGTTTTCATAGGGGTCGCTTAAAATTAGGGATTAATGGTGAAAACGGGCATTATTTTCCTAATTTGATGCCTAAAAATTACAAGGAAGCTTTTCAGAAAATAAGAAGCCAAATTGTGGTTAATTAATAAGGTGTGAGTTATCTTGAAAGTAAAAGAGTATTAACTGTAACCACAAGTACACGAACTCATGGTCACCAGAGGACAAATATTGTATTATTTATTCCTGGCAAAAACCTCTCAAGAAGACTCCGTGTTTGTCTCCATTTAATGTAATATGACAAAAAATACAAAATGGACAAACCGTGTCAATCTCAAACTAACCATCGTGTGTCATCTTTTGTTGTTTGTAATAGAGGTGTTATTTTTCATCTAAAAATTTGTCAGAATTGGTTGCGACTGTACTTTGACCTAACGTTGTAGCACCTACTAGTTATACTATTTCTTGTTTATGAATTAAAAATATCTTTCTAAATATAGCTATGAATGAATTGCTAGTCGCTGACATAGCCCGACGGATTAGCAAGCTGACGTGGCAATGGGCAGGGCACATAGCACACAGAACTGACGGCCGATGGGGCAGCAAAGTTCTGGAATGGAGGCCGCGTACCGGAAAACGCAGCGTGGGACGTCCACCTACAAGGTGGACCGACGACATCGTAAAGGTAGCAGGGAAGCGCTGGACGCAGGCCGCTACCAATCGATCAACGTGGAAAGCATTGGGGGAGGCCTATGTTCAGCAGTGGACGTCCTATGGCTGAAATGATGATGATGATGATGAATCGCTTTTGCACCTAGATGTGATTAAATTCACTGTTTTGCATCTCATGAGCATGACGGACATATTTTGTACAAACAACAGCACATCAGGCTATAAAATTTTGTTCTAAAATATCACTTATTCCAATAATATGAGGTGGCACAGTGTTAAGCTTGATATATCGTGGTCGGTTCTAAATATTTACCATGCTCAAGGTGATTCACCATGGTCGCTGCGTCAGTACTATGCCAATAGTTTTTGGGGAAATCACTGATATATGTTTGTGATCTAACATATAATATTAATATTTGTTTTGGTGAATGTTTTTCTGGATAATAGCTGAGAATGATTGGACTAATGCACAAAAATAAACATTATTTTAATGGATCGGGATTCTAATTACATAAAATACGCAAACAGTAAGCAGTTGTAAGCCAAATTGTCGGCCGTTTGGTGTAGTGGTTCAAAACGGACTACTATGCCGAGAGGTTGTCCATTTTGTCCAAGGATATTTTTAATTTATAAATGGATTTCAGATGCTTTCAATTCAAAGTTCATTAATCATCCTCACAAGCTTTATAAACTGCCATAAACGGTTGACTTGACATAACTCAAGGATGAGTGCTATACCTAGCTATTATGTTATTCGTGATACAGCCATTCGAAATCTGTCACAAAATAAGCAAAAAGTACGCAAAAGCTAAGCAGAATTGTCTAGCTCTATCATTTGTTTTGTTTGGGAAATCACATTTTAAAAGATGATTTCATGTATGCTTTAAGAATTAACAAAATCCACGAACACAGTACAAAAAAATGTAAACCGAATAGTCGAGAAATATTTTTAGCGCATGGAACGGAAAACCAAAAGCGTACTTTTATACTTAGCAGTCGACGTCCTGTTCGAGTTTCCTTTGTCTAAGCCTAACTCCGCCCAAACGAAACTTTGTGGACGTCAGGCTGAAACAACCGCCTAAAACTATAGGTCTACTCAGTCAGTGCTTGAAGTATGGGAGAGGCACGGGAGGATGTTTTTGAGACCTCAAACGTCGGCGAAACTTCAGATATCCTTAAGCCTAGGCGCAGACCATCGATTGTTTTGTCGGCCGATAGTTTAGTCGGGCAGTTGATCAGTATGGGCATGTATGGAAGTGCGCGCATTACACCGATTTTATTTGACCGATTCTTCATACAAATTAAAATCGGGCCCACCTATCGGCCAACTAAAAATTGGTGGTCTGCGCCTAGTCTTAGATTTGTGCTCTGTCACGTCATAATAATAATAATATACTCAACATCAAATAAACCGCACCTTCCGCGACGCGAACTTTAACGATTTTCTTCTGACACAATCATGGTGTTATTTGAAAGCCTAATAAATATCCTTTAAGAAAAACACATTTAATTTCTTAATAAATGATTAACATATCTATACCATAAATGTGACTTGAAAAAATACCTCACTCTGGGCCCACCTATGGGATCAATTAGACCAATTTTTATGGTTATAAAACCAAACAATGATCTCACGTGTCCTCTTTAACAGATGGATAGCGATTAATCCCAACTTTTATAGCCTCTGTTCTTGAATCGGTAGTCCGACACTGACACTTTGTGTTGCATGAAAAGTTCTTTTTTTGTTTGAGGTCAGGTTTGGGATATTACGACCCACAAAGTGCAGACCTCCCCAATGCATTCCGCCAACGTCACGTTGCACCAAACGTTTTTATTTTAATACAGTTAGTAGTTAGTGTGTGTACGTGTATATGCACATAACGTGTAATGTCTATCAAAACTTTTGAAAAACGAATAGTATCGCGCCACCACACTTAAAACTCACTCGCCTACTATAAAAAGAAAATAATTATACTTTGAACCTCTGTACTATATGAATAAACGCTATCTATGTGGTATTGAAGACATTATCAATGCGGCTCTACAATGGTCGCACCAATCAGCGCACTTCTGAGGAAGTGCAACGGTTAACCGGCAGATGGCGCTAAAGAAAAAAAAATAGGTTGTGTTGATAATTTTTTATTGCAGGTGTAGAGTTCTAAATTTTGCCTAAATTGCAAACGAATAATGAAATTAACCCTGATTCTAGCGCAGTCGGGTAAAAATAAGGTAATGTTGATAATATAAAATTATAGAGCGAAAAAAATTTTTTTTCTATAATGATGCGGCACGCATTCAGAAAGAAGTGAAAAAGCATTTTTAACGATCTTAAAATAAAATCTCAGAATTGTCATGGAATAATTTTTTAAATCACTAAAAGAGCTCTAAAATAAAGAGCAGCCTCTTTGAGTAAAGATAGTTTTAAGTTTTTTAAATATTAAATATCTCTTTTGAATAGCGTTTATGAAAAACAACGTTCTTTTAAATGAAAATTTACAAACTTGGCTATAAACTTAAATTACATTAAATTACATTTAAATAAAAGCATTATGTAAGTAGTAACTATAATAATGTGTTTAGTGATTTCAGTCTACTCTACAATCGTCTTTAACTTCTTAATTATTCAAAATGTTATGTACATATTATTAAATAATGTAAACGACATTAAAAATTATTTAAAAAGCTGCCAACAGAGGTTTTACTTAATTTCAATTAATTGTAGTACCTTTGAGATTAAGATCACAGAGTCTTCACTTGTTTTTCTTGAAACGGTATACCTGTTTTGCATTTTAAGTTTTCACTATATTTTCCTCTGTTGACACAGCAGTGACCTGATTTTCAATGTCAGCTTTGTTCTAAGGACACCTATCACGCTGTCATATCCCCATTACCCTAGCGACGGGCACGATGTCATTTCCCCTGCTCTACTTAAGAGCACTCTCGCATCTAATTAGAGATTAATTCAATCATGGTGCTACGAAAGGCCCTTCGTCGATTAGTTAAGTACCTCTATCTAAGTAGGTGACATTCAATTTATAGTTGGCACAAAACTTTCAGGCCACTTTCAGAGAAAAAAGAAAATTTTCAATTCAAATATCGAATGTTTTGGAAGCGAACGTGATTGGATCCGAGGTGACAGGC